GCCCGCTGCTCCCCTCAGCAGTGTATTTCAGTAGATCCACCTGTTCTGCTCCCCACTTTGTCTCCGGTGAATTCTCTCACCTCCCGCACCTCTGACCTACACCCCAGCTCTTGTATGCATAAATAAATAAAAATAGATCTTAAAAAAAAAAAAAAAACCTTGGCCTGACAAAGACCTTTCTAAATATGACAAAAAAATCCAGAGTACTTCGAGGATTAAGGAATTTGGTAAATTTCACCATCAAAAAAGTAAAAAGACAACAACCAGCTAGGAAAAAAGTAAATGAAACTCTTGACAAGGGGCTCATTTCCTTAATATGTACTCCTACAAATCAAAAATAAGAGTTAATCCTCTTCAGAAAAATAAGCCAAGGATATGAACAGACAGTTCATAGATAAGGAAATACCAAAAAAATAAATACCTACAACTTTAAATACTGACAGTCTGTTCAACCTCAGAGTAAGAGAAATGGAATCTTCTGGGCTATCACAGAACGATATAGAGAAAGATGAAAAAAAAAGTGACGGAAAAGACCACTTACTGTGTCATTTCTCAACCCTGAGATGGCCTGCCTTCATTCCTCCAAGATTTTTTTTTTAGATTATTTATTTATGCACACAAGAGCTGGGGTACAGGCCAGTGGTGTGGGGGGGGTAGTGAGAGGATTCACCAGAGTGGGGAAAAGAACAGGCAGACTGACTGAAGCACATTGCTGAGGGGAGCAACCAGCGAATCAGAAGAGGTCCGCTGCACCATGTGGATTGCTCCCTGGCTGGCTGGGGATCAAACTAGTGCTGCAGAGGCTGCGGATAGCTCCATAGGTTGCATCTTAACTCTTGCGCCACCAGGGAGGCCCCCACATTCCCTCAAGATTTTACTGTGGATCACTGTGCATGCTTTTGAACTCTGGTCTTGTCATAATTCTTAGTGGTTTCAATGTCAACACAGATACATGATGTTCCCAAGACTATCTCCCCTCCACTACTTAAGCATGTCTCCTCCAGTCACCTTGTGTCCAGCTTCCCTTGGTCACACTTGACGGGTAAGGGCAATCCTCAAATAACCCTACCTACAGACAACCTGCTGTCTGACCTCCTCTAACCTGCTCAACTCCCTTCAAGGACCCAGACTTTAATCATTCCTTGGCACCATCGGACCCCATTCATCCTGCCTTCTCTTCGTTCTCCGGCACGCCTCTCCTCACCCAGCTTCAGTTTCTTGTAAACACTCTTTGCAGATAGATACTTTTCTTTCATTTTTTTAAAGATTTATTTATTTATGCATACAAGAACTGGGGTATAGGCCAGAGGTGCGGGGGAACCAGAGAGAGTAGGGAACAGAACAGGCAGACCGACTGAAATACACTGCTGAGGGGAGCAGCAGGTGAGACAGGAGAGGTCTGCTGCACCATGTGGGTCAGCTCCATGGCTGGGTGATTGAACTCATGCTACAGTGGCTAATGATAGCTTGATAGCACTGAGACTTTAGCCCCTGTGCCACCTGGGAGGCCCTGGTGTTTTCTACTTTCTAATGGCAGGAGAGGTCTGCTGTGCCATGTGGGTTGCTCCCTGGCCAGCCGGGGATCGAACTCGTGATGCAGAGGCTGCAGATAGCTCCATAGTGCTGTGCTTAACCCCTTGCGCCACCAGGGAAGCCCTCTTGCCCTCTCCTGTTTCATAGAACTCACCTGATAAGCCACTGTTTCATAGAACTCACTGTAAGCCGCCATTCACCTGCTCTGCAACTGCACTGGTGTGTCTCAGCCTAGAGCTAGAGGGAAGCTCCAAATTTACACAAACGTCAGGTGGGTGCTTAGTGCTGTCAGGCATTCACATGACATCGCCATGGTTCATTCACTCTTCCAGACCATCACTGCACGCCCTGTGTCTCCCTCCCCGCCCTCAACTGTTGAACTTGCTTTCAATTTCATGGAGAAAAAAGGCAATCAAAAGAACATCAACAAGCTCTCATGCTGGATACCCCCATTTACCCACTTCTGCGCTCAGGTTCTGCGTGTGCACCAGCGAAAACCAGCCCCTGCCTGCGTGCGAGATCCCACGCTTGTCCCACTCCACCTCTCCCCACTAACAACCGTTGCTTTAGCAATCCTGCCCTCCACCTCTAGCACCAACATTTCCCCCTTTCCTGCTGGGTTTTTCCCATCAATACATGAACGCTGCGTTCCTGCCACCACCGTTTCCTTTAGAGCAAAACTCAAGAGTTCCTGTTCCTTGTCTCTAATCTCTCCTCCCAGTCTCTTTTTGCTCTACTCCTTGGCCAACAAGCCACCGAAATAGCTCTTGTTGAGGTCGCCATTGTTTCCCATGGTTGTCCCCCTAAATCTAATTCTTAATCTTTTTATCATATCCTTGGACACGCCAATCCCCTGATTTCCTCTTCACTGGCTGAGCCTTCTCCTTCTCCCCTGCTGTGTCCATCTCTCCAAAACTGCGTAAACACTGGACACTTAAGTGTCCATACACCCAGTTCTGGGACCTCTTCTATTTTCTACTGACAATCAGTCCCTCGATGACTTCATATATTCAAATTTATATCTGCAAACTGACCTTCGAGATCCCTACTCCTACTTTCAGCTGCTTTTGTAACATTCCCTCCTGGATAGTTAGCAAGCATTTTAAACTTAAAATGACCAAAACCAAACTCCTCATCTTCCTCTTCCCAAACCTGATCCTCCTAAAATCTTCTCTTTCTCAGTAAATACAAGTTCTTTCTAAGATACTGGGGTCAGGAACCTTGGAGACGTCACTGGCTTCTTTGTCACTTTGTCTCTCCTTCCAAAACAAATCCTGTCAGCTCTGCCACAAAAAATCTACTCAGAATCCAACTGCTTCTTACAAGCTTTTCTGTCACAGCCCTAGTCTCAGCCTCCATTATCTCACTTAGAAAAATGTAATGGCTTCCTAACTCATCTCTCTGCTCCTACCCTGGCCTCCTACAGGTCATCATCAATGCAGGAGCTAGGGTGACCTTGCTAAAATATAAATCAGAGTGTAGGATTCTTCTCAAACCCTCCCAAAAGTTTCCATGTCATTCAGAATAAAAACTGAAGTCCTCATAACACTAACAAGCACGGTTTCCTCGCAGCCTACCATGGCTTGCCTTTCTCCTGCCCCACCCAAGAGTTCTCCATCATCATGTCTTCCTACAAACCCCATCCTATCAAAAAATGATTTTTGGTGGTGCAAGGGGTTAAGTCGCAGCACTATGAAGTTAACTGCAGTCACTGCAGCATGAGTTCAATCCCCAGCTGGCTTGGGAGCTACACACATGGCACAGCAGACCTCTCCTGCCTCGCCGGCTGCTCCCCTCAGCAGTGTATTTCAGTCAGTCTGCCTATTCTGCTCCCCACTCTGCCTCTAGTGAATCCTCTCCCCCCCACCTCTAGCCTATACCCCAGTTCCTGTATGCATAAATAAATCTTTAAAAAAAAAAGTGATTTCTGAATGAATACGCAACATAATGGTATTCTCAAAATTGTTGGTATGAATGTCAATGGTATAATCTCAACAGAGGGCAGAATGGCAATAACTCAGAATTACAAATGCCCATTTCCTTTGTCCCAGTGATTCTACTTCTAGTAAAGTCCTTTATATAAATCACACATGTGCAAAATGGCACATGGACAAAGTAATTCATTGCAGCATATTTTATGCCTGAAAAAGAATGAAAAGAGCCAAAATGTCTAGCAATAGCAAACTATTTAAAGAAATTACAGTCCATCCACACCATGGAATATTTTACAGTAGCAAAAAAAGGGTAAAGAGACTTGTACCCTAATATACGCTTCTGACATAAGATGAATTTTTTTGAAGAAAAAGAAAGGTGCTGAAAAGTATGGTTCATATAAGTCCTTTTTTATTAGAAAAGGAGAAAGAGGGCCTCCCTGGTGGCACAAGGGGTTAAGACGCAACCTATGAAGCTGACCGCAGCCACTGCAGCATGAGTTCAATCCCCAGCCAGGGAGCTACCCACATGGTGCAGCAGACCTCTCCTGTCTCACCCACTGCTCCCCTCAGCAGTGTATTTCAGTCGATCTGCCTGCTCTGTTCCCCACTCTGTCTCTGGTGAATCCTCTCAGCCCCTACACCTCTGGCTTGTACCCCAGTTCTTGCATGCATAGATAAAATAAATCTTTAAAAAAAAAAGAAAAGAAGAAAGGTGTAAAAAGAATGCATACTGTATTTTCTTGTATATGCACAAACTCTGCAAGGAGACTCAAGAACAGCAGTTGCTGGTGTGGAGGGCAGTGGACAGGTGAGAGGCAGCGGTGGGAGGTTTTGCTATCAAGCCTTTTAAATCTCTTAATTTCTGAACCTTTTATCTATTAAAAGGAGAATAAGCGTTTATGCTCTAAAATGGCATGATCTCTAAGATACAGTGTTATAAAAAATTGCTAAGGCACAGAAGTACACTCTGTAAAGTAGGTTCTACATAAGGACGGGCAGATTTACTTTCTATTATTTACTCTTTTGTGCCTTTGGACTTTGTATCTTACAGATGCATTTCCTATTCAAAAAGAAACACAAAGATTTAAAACATCCGGGTGGGAGAGTGCATGGTCACAGACATCGCCTCAACAATCCTGTGACAGCAACCTGTCAAATATTTCCCTCATTTTTTAAATGAAGGAAATGACCCTTCCAGGAGTCCAGTGGGCAGCACAGAGGCGGGGCATTCAGGGACAGGACCCAGCAGTCCCGACACACCCACGACAGCCCCTCCAGCCCCAGCAGCCTCCCTGGCGCTGGCTCTCCAGCTCCTCCCTCCCTCCCCTGCCTTCTCCCGCTCCTTGGGTAGGGGAACACAGCCCCTAACCCTTCCCCAGGAAAAGTGCCACCAGGGGCTCCCCTCTGGGCACCAGGGCTGTGGCTCCCTGGTGTCTGAAAGTCGCCAAAAGAAACCAGGGTTGGTGGGGGGGCCACATGCTGGGCGGCTCAGCTTGCCCTGCCTTGCAGCTCTCAGACCTCCCCAGCCAGTACCTGTCAATAATGACGGGGTCTGAGGGCGTCTCATTCCGGTTGCCACAGCTCTTCCGGTCACAGCACCGACTGAAAGAAAGATGAGGAGGGAGGGAAAGAGGAAGGAAGGGAAGGAGAGAGAGATTACAGGGGTGTGTGTGTGTGTGTGTGTGTGTGTGTGAGAGAGAGAGAGAGAGAGAGACAGACAGACAGACAGACAGACAGAGAGACAGAGAGAGAGAGAGACTCACTCCCAAGGTCCTCTACAGCGACCTGGAGATCCCACCTGGAGAGACAAGGTGGCCAGGAAACCCCAGGAAAGGGCAGGCAGGCAGCTGGTCCCTGCAGAGTCTCTCTCTACACTTTTCATATACCCAGAAAAGAACTCAAGCTGTAAGCATGCAGCTCATGACCTATTACAAGGTGAACCCATCCATGTAACCAGCGCCCCAGAAATCCCCTCACGTTCCCTCCTTGACACTACCCTTCCTGAAGGTAGACCACGTTCCAATCAGATTTTTTTTTTATTTATACAAGAACAGGGTACAGGCCAGATGCGCGGGAGGGTGAGAGGATTCATCAGAGACAGAACCGGGAACAGAACAGGTAGACTGACAAAATATACTGCTGAGGGGAGTAGTGGGCGAGACAGGAGAGGTCTGCTCGCCATGTGGGTTGCTCCAAGGCCAGCAGGGATCGAACCGGCACTGCAGAGGCTGCGGACAGCTTCACAGCGCTGAGGTTAACCGCCTGCTCCACCAGGGAGGCAGATTTTTTTTTTTTGGGGGGAGGCAGATTTTTAAAGATGATTTTTTTCCATGCACAAGAAACTGCACACAACCCCCCTCCCCGCCTCCAGATATCCTAGGGAGACCTTGTCTAGAAATTCGAGGCTCTGGGGTAACGGTAGGAGAGTCAAGAACTGTGTTCACCCCAACCCGCTCACCGCAGGAAGCTGCCCTGAGGTTCTCCTGGGAGGTAGCAAAGTTTCCTTCCTCCTGCCTCTGAGTTAATCCTGGAGGCCAGGCCCTGCCCCCACCTCCCCAGTGAGTCTTCCCCAGAGCTTTATTAGTTAAGCTTCCCAGGAGCGGCAGGAGGCCTCTTTTGCAAAAACACTTGGAGAAGCCACATAAACAGGCCAGGCTAATGGGGCCTCAAGGACCCTCTCCTCAGCCAGCTCTATGCCCAGGGGCCTCTCTCTTCCCTCAAAGCCTCCCCCACCAGCTTCTCCAGGGAGCAGAGGGGAGAGAGGTAGTGACAGCAGTTAGGGGCAGGACTTGGTGGCAGTCCCTGGCAACATCTGGGCCAGGGGTGAGCCGCCCACCACATCTCACCTGCACATGATCTCATGGGTGAGCAGCACGCGGCACATTTCGGGGTTCTTGTCCTGCCCCTCATAGATGATGGCCTGAGGGAGGGGAAGGAGGCTCCTCTCAAGTCCTGGTGTTGGGGGAGAGATGGGCATCTCGGAAGCCCAGGCTGAGGGGGTGCCCTGCCCCCAAGAAAGAGCATGTCCCTTCCCCATGTCCCCTAATCCGAACCCAAGAAGGCAAAGCAAGACCTGAGAGCTTAGCCCCCCCAAACAGGGACTACCTCCAGGGCAGGCAAGAGTAGAAAGGGTCTGCAGATTCTGTTTCTCCACAGACAGCTCTGCTTGGGGCCAAGAAGGTCCCCGGACCACAAGGACAAAAGTCCAGCTGCTGGTGGGGCAGGCACACTCTGGTACCCCATCCCCACACCCCCAGGGGACCTCTGCCTGCACTTTCCCTCTAGGCCATCCCCACAGCTAATTAGCCATTAGCCAGTCCCCATTCCTGTCACTTTCCTAGCTCAGGCCAGAGTCTCCCTCTTGGATTGGTGTATCAGCGCCTTCCCAGCCCCCCCCAGGTTCCACTCTGCCCCTAGCGAGGGAGCTTCCTAAACTGCAAATCCGGTTTCCCAGTCTATAACTGTTGGGTTGCCCACCCCCTATTTGTGGTGTCCCTTTCTCGCTGTACTTCTCTGAAGCCCTTCCATGCTTGCACCCCACACAATCTGCTTTGCCACTGCTTGGTCTGCTTCCCTGACCACGGCGACCACAGGCTTTCTAGAAATAAACCATTTCTTCCTCTGCCCTGGGACTGGCAGAGGTTGCAGGAAGACCCTGGCCATGGAGAGAAGCCAAGTCTCCACCTGGCATGGGGCCCATTGAGCTGGCCCACTTGAGACGCAGCTGCTTCCCACCAGCATGTGGGACTCCTCCGAAAAGCCCTGACACTTGGGGTGCTGCTCTGGCAGAATCCATCAGGGCTTAATCAGGTTTCTCCAAGCTCCAGACGCTGGCCCAGAGCATCCTTCCACTTTAACCAGGGACTGAGGACCTGCAGTGGAAGTTCTGTGCCCCACCCAGTCCCCTTCATTGTACCAGCGTGCCCATGCCCCAGCTGCGGCCAGCACTGCTGCTAAGGGCTTTCTCTTGAGAATTGTTCTCAGTGCCTAGAAGCTGCCTCACCTGAAAATGTCTGGGAGGTTACAATCTCTCCTTAGGAGTGATCCCCAACCAGTGACTGACAAGTGCAGGCAGGATATAGCATCCTTACCTGGCTTCAGGGGGGAACGGCTCTGGTGCCTTCTCCAGGGCTCACTACTGGTCAGGCTGAGGCTGGGCTTGCTGGGATTCCACCCTTGCTAAATATCCCCTGCCTGTCCTTCCCCTTCCTTGCTCCCTGTAAACCTCAGACACCTGAACCTCCTATCTAGGCTGGGCTTCTAGAAGACACACTGAAGACACCATCACTGTACAAATACTATCTTTTTTGTAGTCTAGAAGGCAAAAGCCACAGATCTCTGCCGACAGTTGGGGCTGAAACTAAGATGGTGGGGAGGACGCAGGGGGAATAGGCACAGGGAAGAGGATGCTCACTCAGACCACAAGGGCATCCCCCGGGCTGGCTCACCTGCTTGGACATGGAATCTATGAGGCGCACGTAAAGGTCCTGCTCTGTCCGAAGTCCTAAGGGGGGGCAGGGAGAGGTGCAGAGGGCTTGCTGTGGCTGCTGGCAAAGGGGCCATGCTCCATGCCCACCCCTCCTGGAGCCCCTCAGACCCGATGAATGGGCATCATGTGTGGCATGGTGCTGTGGTGCCCAGTGGGCAGCAGGCTCCACTCACCATTGTTATATACTAGCCGGAGGCGGTAATGGATCCCGTTGTTCGTCTTTTCGGCCCCAGGCTCCTGCGGGGACAAGATGGTGAGGATGCTCAGTGCTCCCAGGGGTCCTCCAGCTTCCTCCAGCCAGCCTCTTTCCCTCCCTTCCACCCATTCACCCCCACTGCTTCACTCCTCCACCACCTGTCCATGCATCTGTCCCAGGGGAGGGGGTCCCTGAAGCCTTCCTGCTTCACCCCAAGGTCCATCCCCACAGCACCCCTGTTTTCTCACTCGGTCCTTTTCCACGAAGTCGATGAAGGCCGTGCGCTCCACCTCCACCGGCTGCCCCTGCCGGTCGTACATGGCCAGCACGAAGTGGAAGAAATTGGACTTCCTGAGGTTGGAGGGTGGCTGCTTCTCAAAATGTGCTCGTGCCAGGCCCACACCACTGCGGGGAACAAAGTTGCTGGAGAAACCACAGGAAGTGTCCTCCAAGGACAGAAAGGCCTCATGGCCTCAGGCCAGGTAGGCAGGCTGGTCAGGGCTGGGCTCCAAGGTGTCAAGAGTTTGGGCAGGAAATCAAATTGGAAGGGGCCCTGTCCACCCTTGCCAGGGCCATCGCTCACTCAGGCAGAGGCCTTCCATTCTGAGGTCACCCAGCTTGCTCCCTGGGGAAAAGGCAGCAGGGCAGGTGGCTACAATAGAAGCATCTCTGCAAGACTTCACCCACATTTTGAAAGGCTGATCTGCAACGACCTATCTTATTGACCAGAGACTCCTGTGACTGCCCTTTAAGACATCATGGAGCAGCTGGGATGGTCCAGAACAGACACCTACTCTCCCCTAGCCCATGGCTGGCATTGCCTGGGTAATGGTGATGCCATTTGTCCCACTGTTTGTCTGATGGCCAGACTTGGACATCACACTGGCTCATGACCACTAGTCTGCCCTTTTGGACCCTGGGCTATTACTGAAGGTGGGGGATGCCCTCCCAGAGGGTACTGGCCCAGGGTCACTGGCTACCTTGGGCAGAAGGAACTTCTGGTCTGGCCTGGCCTAGGGGTCTTTCCTGGCTCGTCAGAAATCCAAGGCCCTACCAAATATTTTCTGAAACCCAATGGTACCAAGTGGGGCTAGAATGAAATGTCTGGCAGGTGAGGGGAGACAGATACAGAGAGCTATAATGCAGGCAAAGTGGCTTATGCCCCCTAAAAGACATACACACGAACAATAAAGCAAAGAAAGAAAATACGAATTGTTTTTGTGAGAGATGAGGGAAGACTTCATGGAGATGGTGGCTTTTCCCCTGGTCCTTGAGGAATGCATAGGAGCTCACTGGGTACAGAAGGCAAAAGGGAACAACAAACCATATAAGAAATGGCTAATCATATCAAAGCGTGTTCCTTAGATCGCTCATAGCAATGATCCTCCCTCTCCAAAAGGGTACTGTGGCCACAACCTCAGGGAAATGCAGCTTCATAGCATCTGTGGGTGTAGGAAGTGGAAGTGACCCTTGGAAGTGACCTTTCCTGACCTGGCTTGGGCAGGCGCAGCCTTCAAGATAGGCCCCAGTCACCCCCTCCTCCTGATATTCAGACCCTTATTTAGTCCCTTTTCACACTTTATCAGGACTCTGTGGCCAGTAGAGTGGCACAAGGGATGGCATATGCCTTCTAAGGTTAGATGACAAATCGTCATTTGGCTTTTGCTTTGTTCCCGCTCTTGGATCAGTCAGGCAGGGGCCTCCATGTTATAAGGACACTCAAGCAGCCCTATGGCATGTCCACATAGAGAAATCCCAGCCCTCCTGACAACAGCCAGCACTGACTTGCCCGTCGTGGGAGTGAACAGAACCACCTGGAAGGAGATCCTTGTCACAACATTGGCCAAGCCTTCACTCTGATGACAGCATAGCTGCTCCCTGGATCTCGACTCTCAGAAACGGTGTGCGATAGTCAACGTCTTAAGCTGCTGAGTTTGGGGACTTTTTTTTACAGGGCATAACACACCACGCAAGTTGATTCCAGACTACTTTTGAAGGATGTGGTTTGGGAAACATGACAAAAGGCCTCCAGAAAGTTCTGGGGCTAGGCAGGGCTTCAGATGCTGCAGGCAAGTAGGGTGCAATATGGTGGGGAAAGTGAGTCATTTAGACCAGAGCGTCACCATGGACCATGGTCTGTGACGGTGTCTGCTGTATTCCTCACCACTTACTGCTTTTCTTCACATAACTTGATAAACTCACTCTTTTTCGGCTTCATGTAAAGCCATGCTATCCTGGATGTCATGGACTAAAAAGCTGGTTAAGTTTTTACTTACAAAAATTATAATAAACACAACGATCATAAAGTGCAAATCGTTTTCCCTCCTGAAGGTCTGCTGTGGAGTCTTGGTGGCCCACGCAAAATGCGAATTTCAAAAGGCAGGAGTGATGGGTCTTTCTTCTTGTTCTCAGATCAAGAGGAAGAGGAGGTGGACGCCCCTGCCCCAAAGAGTCTTTCTGCAGATGCGCCTTTCCCCAGGACCACCCTCCTCCCTCCACCTTCCCCTCCCTTCCCAGGCAGGCTGCAGTCCTTTTCAGTCCAGGCCTTGACCAGGGCTCATTTGCCTGGAGGCAGGGAAGCCAGAAGAGGGCTTTGATCGCAGCAGGTCCCTGATTACTGCTGGATGAATATGCTAATAAGAGTCAACTGCAACTCCTCCCTCCTGGCCCCTGGACCAGATTGGGGAAGGGGGAAGAAGATCCAGGACTACCTCCTGTAGAAAAGGCCAGAAGGGGGAGGGCTGTGGAGCCATCCAGATCAGAAAAGATGCTGGAAAGCTCTCAGCAGGGAGAGCACAAGAGACCTTACAGAGGAGGGATGGATGCTCAGCAGTGACAGAAACACCGGAACAATCAACCTATGCTTTCCACACAGACACCCTGCACTTCTCAAGCCAGTTTCCAAACTAGTGCTGAGTAAATCAGGGATGCAGGCTGGAGCTCCCTCCTCTCCACCGCCCTTAGCAAATATCCCTCAGTCTGGATCTGGCTGCCCACTGGCTCTGGCCTGGCTATACGGCCTAGGCTTGGGCAGTCTGGCCTAAGTCCCAGGGCTACCTCCCTTCCTAGGTCCATCCTCCTCACAGTAGGGGGCGGGGGGCTTCTCAGGGAGAGAGGTCAGGGGACCCAGCTCTGGGGAGCAGTATCCAGTGCCACCAGCTGGAGACAGGGCACAGCTCACAGGCCATATTCTAGCCTACAGCTGGGTGGACTCAGTTCCCCCGAGGCAGCTTGACTGTCATCCTCTTTTCTCCATCTAGATCAGGGGGTCTGAGGTGCACCCACTCTCCTGGGCTCACACCCTCCATGTTCCAGAGGGTGGGACAGAGGGGGCTGGTTTACTGCTCTGGGACAGGATCACTACATCGAAAAAGGACAGAAAAGGAGGAGAGGTGTGCAGGCCGGCACACCAGAGCCGCCCTGGCCTGTGAGGTCTTCATTCACACTCCTCCTGGACTTGGGAGAAGATCAGGGGAAGCAGAAAAAGTTTTGTTTTACAACCCAAATGCCCAAAAATAGATGACTGGATCAAGAAGATGTGGTACATATATACCATGGAATATTACTCAGCATTCAAAAAAGATAAACACATGCAATTTGCAGCAACATGGATGGCACTGGAAGGGATCATGCTCAGCGAAATAAGCCAAAAAGAAAAAGAAAAATACCGGATGGTCTCACTCATAGCAGGAATCTAGAAAACTTAAATAAGCGACCAGGAAAATGAATATAAGAAAGTGAAAATCAAAATCAACAAAAAACTATGAACCAGAGACACTTTTTGGGGGGTGGGGGGGCGGGAGGGGAAGGATTGGGGTCAGAATGGGGCGTTTGCAATTGTATGGGGAATATAAAAATAAAATTTAATATTTAAAAAAAAAAAAGTTTTGTTTTAAAGACTGCAGTGTTTTCTGTGAAGAGGGACAGAGACAATCACAAGGGTCTACCCAGCACAAGGAGAAGGGAGAGCCCCAGGGAAGGTCTGGGCTCTGCTTTCTTTCTCCAGGTTCTGCCAGGCACCTGCCCCCAGTCAGCGTCCCTGAGAAAGGAACGGCACTGCAAGCCCCGAAGGGAGAGGAGTGGGAGGGCGCGGGGAGCTTTTGCTCTTCTTCCCTTGAGAATAGCTGAGGCTCTTGTAATGAGAAAACAAACCAACATTGAAGAATAGTAAGAAAGAAACTTAGAGCTATGCCCAGCCTGCTCAGGAGATAGAGGCTGGGGCTGGGTGAACTCTGGGTGCACATCATGGGATACAGGTGGGGGCTCAGAGACAGGTGGATGGACCCAGGTCCTGGCTCTGTGGCCTCCAAAGTGGGCTCACCCAGACAGCCACTGGGGACGAGGGAGAAACTTGGAGGATGTCTACTGATATGGACCTTTCAAACAGACAGCAGGGCAGCAGGAGATAGACACCCTGGTCTGGAGAGACAAGCGTTTTATTTGGGTTTTGGGGAAGCAGACCCTGAGACAAGGATTCAAATGCAAACACTTTATTTGGGAAGAGTTTCCAGGAAACACTGGTGGGTGTGGGGAGTGAGACAACAAAGGGAAGGCAGCCCATAAAAAGGCCCATGATCTACAGGTTTCCACTGTGGGCAGCAGGCTCAGCCCTCAGGGGGGCTCTGGAAACAGTCTAGAACATGCGCTTCAGCTATCCCACTAGTGGGCTGGGGGTGGGGTTGGGATATTTATCCACCAACTTCAGTTAGTCACGGGCTAGGCCAGGAGCTTGGGAGTGTCATCACCCAGACCTGGTGTGCAAGTGGGCAGAGCAGACACCGGCAGCCCCAGAAAATCCTCAGGAAGCGAATGATCCTTTAGCTGAGGGGACAAGGATGGGGACCAATTGCCAGCCATGCAGTGGCTCAGAGTGTGGGGTGGTGGAAGCCAGCAAAGCTGCAGCCTGAGGACCTGGTTGCAGCTTGGCAGGTGGACCTACAAGCTGCCTCATCTGGTGCACGCACGGCTGGAGCCCACACTTCAGAAACACCCCATGCGCTCGGCAGCATTAACACGCAAAGCGCGCTACATCAGCACCTTGCCCCATGAGTGCAAGAAACAGCCACGTTACCGGCTCTTGCAAGAGTCCACAATGAATGACACATCTCTTCACTTTCGTAGAAAGACTGTATTAAACAATTTCCAAAATGCTTTCCTATCAACTCCAAAGTGTGCAGATGTGGCAGGGCATTTGCTGGTCTAAAGAACCCAGATTTGGGAGGAGAAAGTGTTCATATTCATCTTTCCACCACAGCCCCCTCACTCCCTTCCCATCTTCTATTCTGAAATAGACCAAAAGTTAAACAAGATTATTAATGACAGAAAAGCGCTGGTTTGTGCAGCTACTTTTTGGTAGGACACCTGCTCTGCAGCAAGTGGGGCATGCATGGGCTTCCCGAGTGCTCAGCTGGAAACCTGGGTGAAGGTCAACACCAAGGACTACCTGACCTTCATGGCTGGCGCCATTCAAAGCACTTGTGCTCAGCATACAGGGAGTATGTGGGGACAAAGGGCTGCAGGCTGTCTGGCTGCTAGTGTCAGGGCCACCCAGTGGGTCCCTGGAGATGTTAAGGCTGAGCAGAACGCCCAAGGGTCTCCTCCCGCCATAGGTGTCTGGCAGAGCCGACATCTCTGCCTCTGGCCTCAATGCAAAGGTCGCTTGTGTCTGCCTACAGCCTAGGCCATGTGCTTGTTATGAACACGAACAATTAAAACAACCATCCCAAACCCCAGAGAGTGCAAGGGGTCAGAGGCTGGAGGCTTGTCTCCCCCAAGAGGCACCCCAGGCCTTCTGCCCACCCCTTCTCCCCTCCAAACCCTAACTCTTGCGTGCCTGACAGCCCCAGGTTGAGCAATGCCTTGGAGTCTGGGATGCTGGGGAAAGAGGAAAAAGGCCTGAGGTCATCAACGAAGTAGGGGGGTGGGGGTGGTTCCCTGTTGACTTCAACATCTCCCCTGGACCTTGAAGGAACAAATGTATGTCTCCAGCACCTCAGTCCTCACCTCAGATTTCCCTAACATCTGTGCTAAGTCCAGCTCATTTCCCCCAATCCTGGCATGGCTACTTAGGCCCCTCTTCCTTCCTTCTTCTTCTTTTTAAATAGATTCATTTTATTTATTTATGCATACAAGAAATGGGGTATAGGCCAAAGGTGTGGGGCATGAGAGGATTCACCAGAGACAGAGTGGGGAGCAGAACAGGCAGACTGACTGAAATATACTGCTGAGGGGAGCAGCGGGCGAGACAGGAGAGGTCTGCTGCGCCATGCACGTCAGCTCCCTGGCCAGGGATTGAACTCATGCCGAAGTGGCTAGCAATAGCTTGATAGTGCTGAGACTTAACTCCTGCACCACCAGGGAGGCCCCTCCTCTTCCTTTCTTTTGCAGCCTCTCTTCCTCCAAGGGTCCCACTGGCCCTATTCTACCCTGTAGACATCCCCTGGGTCCCTGGGGCTGCTGATAATCATACTAGGCCTGGCAATCCTGGCTCCAGCCAAGATCTATTGTCCAGCCCTGCCCAGTCTGACATGCCCAGCGCCAGGGAGATAAGAGCAGCAGCTCACTGTGGCACACCCACTGTCACCATGTGGGCAGAGGGAGGACCTGGTGGCTAGAGGCAGCTGCCCAGAACCTGTGTGCAGAGGGGCCTGCTGGAGAGGAGGTCCCAGGGGCTTTAGATATCCACTGCCATGTGCCTGAACAAGGTAGGGGAAGGGAAAGATCACACCGGCCAGCTTTCTACTCTTTTGCTAGTTTCATTTCCACCTAGAGACTGCCCACCCTGCTTCTCTCTGCCCACTCCCCTGCACCCACCCACAGGCCTGTCTGCCAGGTCCCAGGCTAGGAGAGGCTATTAATTATTAAAGCAAACAAAAGCATTTCCTAGCAGGGAGGCCAGCCTGCAGCTGCTTACAGGAAAGGCAGCCCCAGCTGGCTTCCCTCTCAGGGCCCTGCTAGCGAGTTGGACCAACTCGAGGGGGAGGGCTGACGTGGGTCTTCCAGGGGTCTCCCCATGCTGGGAAACACAACAGAAGGAGAGGAGAGTCGCCTCTGCACTGAGCACCCAGCAAAAGGATGTGGGTCACCTGCAGGAGGGCTGGGGAGGGTGGGCTAGGGCTGGGCATGTGGATCTCAGAGGTAAAGTTCTGCTGGCCCAGGGCAGGGATGGTCACAGCAATGGCCAGCGGTCCTCATGCAGAGGGAAACCCTGGCAGGACTCAGCTCCTACCTTCCCTCCTTTTCCCTGTTGCCTCCGGGATAAGGACACACAGTCTCTCTGCTTCCTACCTCTCTTCTGCTCAGAACTTTCCTTCCTCTTGGCAGAGTCTCCTTCATTGATCTTAGCAGGCTCTGGGCCTTTGCCTCGTCCTGTAAAACTTTGGTATAAAAATGGGGAGCAGCTCTTGTTCCAGTACCTGGTCCCTAGGGTCAGGCAGATCCTGGAAATCACCAACATGGAGAGGGGAGACCCACAGAAAGGGATGTGGGAACCTTCTCACATGCATTCCGGCTTTCTCCAGCAGATACTCATTGCCCAAGACTGGCTGCTTAAATTTGTCCTCCTCTGTGGACATAGGATGATCCAGTCACCATCCTTGCCCTAGAGGAAGGCACAGGTTGGCAGGACAAGGAAGCCTGGGACAGGCAGGGCGCAGCTTACCCTGGCCCTAGGCAAGCACCTGTAGGCAGCAGGCAGACCCACTCCCCTGGGCCAGGTGGAAGGGTGTAAACAGAGTGCTGGGGTGGGGAGGGTCCCAGAGGAACCAATTCAAGAGAAGTCTGCAACATCACTGTTGGATGGGAGGCATAGAGGGCCGGGGGGAAGCCTGGGCTCACACTGTGATGAGCCTTAGGTGCTGACTATCCGAGAGGGGGTGAGGAGGGGTCACTGAAATTTTTAATAGGGGAGGGGCATCATCAAAGTTCTTTGGAAATATTGCTTTGGTCTCCGGTACATGCTGGATGGTTTGGGGTGGGGGAGTGAAGGGCTGGGGCAGCGGACTAGGAGGCTGAGGTGGTCATGGCGCCGGTCAATCTTCAAGACAGGGAGGAAGCGGGTGGAGGATTGGCGGATTGATTGTAAAATGTTGGCTGTGGGCACTGACATTGGGAGTGGGACACAGCGCAGTGTCCACAAGCCTGTCCACCGGGTGGCTGTGGAGGGAAGGCAGGAAAGACAGCTGTCACACCGTGCGACACCCTGGGGGAGAGCTCCTGTGCCGGTCCCCAGAGATAAGAGGGAGAGAAAGCAGACGGGTTGAAGAGGGTGGTGGGACAGGGGAAGAAATTTTCGTTGCTGCTGCTTTGGGATAAAAAGACGGGAGTGGAGGACCAACTGGGGATCAAATACAAGCAATAGTGAGGGAACCTGGGAGGGGGGAGGAGAAAGGATTAGCCTGAGCCCTTCCGGAAGGACCTCACTCAGCATCACCAGGTAAGTGCCCGCTCCCAATCTGCATTCTGGAACTGAGAAATCATCAAACTGGGAGATCAGCAGCCCTAGCCTGAAAAAAAGCCCCCCTTCCGACTTGGGATGCCTCTGAGTCCTCGTCATGGGACTCAGCCTAGATATGCTGATCCCATTCAAGATACACCCCTCCCTGGCTCCCCACACCCCCAGGTGCAGACAACACTGCTACCTCCTTTGCACACGCTCCCCACTCATTAGACCTGCTGGCTGGGGCAGGAGCAGAGAGGGCCGGCCCTCAGGGCTGGGGCTCAGCCCGGAGGCCCCACTGGAACGCCTCTCCACTCCTACAGGAGTTCTCACTGTACAGCCAGTGGAGCAAAAGGTGAAGCCCCCTTAAGAAACAGTAAGAAACCCACTATTTAGCGGATCACATCAAGTGAAATAGAAAACCAGAACCAACAGAAAAACAGGCAGGACACAGATCTGCAAGCACAGCCCAGGAAAACGCTTGTTGATGGAAAGAAAGATGGGAAGGAAACCACTAAGATGTTGACAGCAGTTGTAGTGGAGAGGTGGGGTTTTGCTTTCCATGTTCCAATTTTTCTGGAATACTCATGAGGTAAAGTTTCTGTAAATTCTTCTAACCAGCCCCCCTCCGACTTTTGTGGGTACAAAAACCCAGGGCCCAGGTGTGGAGGTGCATGTCCACAACTTTCAAAACTTCCTTGGCACATCGGGCATCCATCCCCCCACCCGGAGTCCGGCCCAGACTCCTGCAGAGGGAGAGATGGGTGTAGACGCTGGGTTCCCAGGCACACCGCCCCCCACCCCCCGCCCGTGCCTTTCACAGGAAAACACCAGAAAAACACCTTGAGAAGAGGTAGGACCTGAGTGACCTTGGCCATTCCAAACCCAATCATTCCAGCCCAACCGACGGCCGGTGCACCGCTCCCCCGCTCCTCAGGCCCCAGTCCCTTCTCGAGCTCTGCACCCCCATCCTCCAACTCCGAGGGGCGTGGGAAAGCAGAAAGGGGGCTGGGTTTCGTGCCTTTCCAGGCAGAGAGCGGCGGAATTGGACAAGGAGAGACTTTGGGACTGCCCAGGAAGGAGGGGTTGGCTATTCCCCGCGCGGGGCTGGCTGCGGGTCCGGGCTCAGGGGCGCGGGCAGCGGGAATCCTCCGCCGAGCCCAGGCTGGCGGGGTCCGCGAACCGCCGGCGGAAACCAGAGGCCCGACAGCCCGCGGTGGAGGCAGAAGCCCCGCCCCGGCCCGGCCCACGACCTCAGGGAGCAGCACCGCGCTCGGGACTGGGCGGACGGGCGGGACAGCTCGGCGGGACGGCCCGGAGTTGGGTCTCCCTCCACGCTCGCCCCGGCAGCGGAGCACGCCGAGCGCACGCGGCGCGGAGGGTCCGGCCCGCGCGCACCGGTCGCGCCCGCGCTCTTACCTCTGCGCGGCGGTGCTGGCGTCCAGGATGCCGGCGCCCTGCATCCAGGAGCGCACGGAGCCCAGGCCGGCGGGCAGCAGCGGCTCCTCCTTCAGGTTCAGCCCGCCGCGGGGCAGAGCGTCCTGCGCGGGGAACATAGGGGCGCGCGGTCGGGGGGCGCTGCCGCCGCCGGGGTCCGGTCCCGCTGAGGCTGCGGGCGGCTCCGCTCCGCCCGACCCGACGGCACCGGGCGCCGGCAGGAGCGCAGCGCGGCGCGGCGTCCCGGAGGCTCGGAGCGCGCTAGCCTCTGGGGCGCTCCCTCGGAGAGCGCGGGGCCGCGAGCGCCGGCGCCGTCCCCTCCCCTCCCGGGGCGCGGGGCGGGGAGACGGAGGGATTCCCCGCGGCCCGAGCGCCGGCGGGCGGACTGCGCGCGGCGCGGGGAGGGCGGGAGCGCAGCCGGCGCCCGGCCCGCGCGGAGGCGCCCCTGAGGCGCGCTCTGGCGGCGGCCCAGGGCCGCGGTCGTCGGAGGGGGGCCCGCGCGCCCTGGGAGCTGCCTCCGGCGAGGCGGGGGCGCGGGGCCGCCCGCCCTTTCCCCCTCGCCGCCCCCACCTCCCGCCCGCCCGCGGCGCCGGCGCGGGGCGCTGATTACCATCCGGGAGGCGGAGGCGGCGGGCGCGGGGCTCGCGCGCGGCGGCGCCAGGAGCAGCAGCAGCCGCGCGTCCCGGGGAAAGGCAGGGGCCGCGCCGGGCCAGCAGACGCCGCCGCCGCCGGCGCCCCGCGCGCCCCGGCGCCCCGGCCCCGCCGCGGCCCCGGGCGGCAGCACCTGGAGCAGCAGCAGCAGCAGCCCGGCCGACTCCCCCCGGGGCCCGGCCCCCGCGCCGCCCCGCCGCGGCCGCCGCCGCCCGCCGCCCCCCGGGGCCTGGCCGCGGGCCCGGGCCATCCCGCCGCCGCCGCCGCTCCCGGGGGAGCCGAGGCCGAGGGCGGGCGCGCGGGCGGGAGGAGGGGCGCGGGCGCGGGCGGGCCCAGGGGACGCGGGCCGGGGGAGGCGGGGCGGGGCGGCGCGGCCGGCCGCGGGCCGGGGGGACGTGACATCATCGGGGAGGAGCGCGGGCCCGGGCGCCGCGGCGGGGCGGACCCGGCTCGGCGGTCGCGGGCTCGGGGGCGCGGCCTGGCGCGGGCGCGGGGGACGCGCGAGGGGCGAGCGGGCCGGGCGGCCGGGGGCGGGGCCGCGCTGCGCTCGGAAGCCGCCGCCTCGGGGCGCCTCGGGACGGAGCCCGCGCCCGCCCGGCCTCGGGCCCTCGCGCCGGTCCCCCGCGCGCGCCGACCGCCTCCCCGGCCGGCTCCTGCGGCGCGTCCTGGCGCCTCCTGGCTTGTCCTCGGGTGGTCTTGCCCCGCCGCCGGCCTGCCCGGGCCCCCGCGAAGCGGACGTCGGTTTCTTCTCAGCCTGGGCACGCAGACCTTTCTGTCGGAGGCAAACTGAGCGGTGTCCCTGCACCCCACTTCTGCCCCCACCCCCCACCCCCGTTCCTAGCCCCGTCTAAACCTGAAGCATTTCGTTTCCAACCCGCGCCTTGCAGAAGCCTCGAGATTTCTGGTCACAGGATGGGATGCTTAGGACTCAGAGACCACCTCGCCCCCTCTTGCTCCCCAGCACCTTGCCTCTCAGATTGGGTCCTCTCTTATTCTTCCTGGCATAGGAACCACCCCGCCCTTGAACGGGGGTGGGGGGCCGTTTGAGGGGTGTGTGATCATTTCTGCTCCCTTCCCCCGCCCTCTGGTCTGGCGATCAAGCCCAGAGTGAGTGGGGCCAGGAGCTGGAGAACTTATGGGGGCCACCTGCCCTGCCTCTGCTCTGACTCCCAAGCACTCCTGGCACATCACTTTCCGGCACCGGTTGACTCCCATTCTCTTTGGGGTGTCTCCAAAGTGGACCTAATGGCCAGCCCACATGGGCCCAGATGATGGTCCCAGGGGACTGCTAGGCTTCCTACCATCCCAGGGGTTCCTCCCCTGACCGCTTTCCTTTTTACCATCCCTCCCTCTCCATTTCCCCTCCTCACCTGCTGGCATTGCGCTGTCCCCACTTCTCAAGGTCTCAGTTTTTACCCCAGGTGAGATGACCAAAGGTCAGTCAGTCTCTTCTAAAGGTGAGTTCCCTGTCAGTCTTTCTCCGTTTCCTTTTCAGACTCTAAAGCCTTGGTCCTCACAGCATGGTCCCTGGGCCGGGAGCTGGGGCTGGGACTACTCCCATCACCTGGGAGCTTGATAGAAAAGCAGAATCTTAGGACCCGCCCAGACCTGTTTTATCAGAACCTGCATTTTAGCGAGATCCCCGGTGACATTACATTTGTGAAACACTGATCTAGAGATCTCCCCCCCCAAGTAGTTCTATATATGCCCCATCCCTCTCTCTGACCTTCAAAGGTGCTTCTGGTACTAAATTTCCGACGGACCCCTCCTTCTTACTTAATGGAGAGGATACCAAGACACCCCCCCTGCCACCTCCCACCCCCTCACTTTTTCTTTTGCCCTTAGTCTCTTCGCCCAGTCTCTTCTCTCCTTGCACCTGGAAAAGTATGCTAACTCAGGGGCCTCTGTGCCGGCCCCATCTTCAGCACCTCCTGATGTGACCCGTTCTGTCTCCAGGCTCCTTGTTTCCTCTGTTCAGACATCCCCATTCTTCTAAGACCCCTCCCCGTCCCTGCCTCCTCCTTCAGTGGGCGCCCCTCTTGTTTGGGAGAAAGTCCACAGAAGACTCCTGAGGATGCCTTGCTGGCCCCTAGTGATCTGACTCCCTCCAGCTCTTCTTTTGCTTCAGGACCTCTGACACCCTTGCAACATTGGGCTCTTCCCTACCTCCCACCCTGCTAAAGACAGGTCTCTCCTTTTGCCCCTTCTGAGCTCCCCCAGGCCACTGTGCCTTTTTATCTTCTCCCTTTCTCTCCCCACTCTCCTCTTCTGCAAGAGAATTGAGTTCTACGCAAGCCCATACTCTTCTACAAGCTCAGATGCCATCTCTGAGGAAATGATCTGCTGTGGGCCTCCAGCCTATTTCCTCAGTTGTGAATGGCAACTGGTGAGGACAGAGCTGTGCTTTACCCTTGGGGAGGGGGGCACTTTTGAGAGAATAGGGGTCCCTATCATAATAGCTGTGCCCCTGGGCTGGGGCAGCCTGTCTCCATATGCCCAGGTCACCTGCTTACCTACATACGCGCTCACCTGTTCACCTGCACACCTGCTCATCTGCACACCTGCCCACTTGCACACCTGCTCACCCACTCACCTGCACATCTGCTCACCCACTCACCTGCTCACCCGCTCACCTGCACACTTGCTTACCCTCTCACCTGCACGCCTGCTCACCTATTCACCCGCTCACCTGCTGGCCTGATAGAAGATCTTACTCTTTCCAAAGCACACCCCTGCCCCTAGCTCTGTGCCTTTTCTCTGGCATCCCCTCCCACTGTGATTTTTTTTTTACTGGGAGGCAATGGGATCCCTATTCCTTTTCGTGATGAGCAGCAGTCTTCGGTGTTGCAGCTCCTCGGGGCTCTAGAAGACCCTTCGCAGAGTAGTGTTGGAAGATAGATGCTCAGAATGAACCTGGGACAGTCAACCCAGGAAAGTGGCTCTGGGCTAAGGCCAGTTTGGATGGGCACCTGATTTGTGCGAGTTTCTACTCCTCTACCCATCTGAACTAGAAGGAAACCAACTAGAAAGGTGTCCGAGGCTGCCCAGAGTCTGTGGCCCGAGAAGGCCTCCTGGATTAGACCACTGGACCAAGGGGCAGGACCCTTGGGTGACAAGGGTAACTCTTGGGCACAGCAGGTAAAAGGTCAAGGAGCAAATGCCGGGTCAGTCCTTGGGGCCAGAAGTATCTGCTTCAAATCCAGTCACAAGGCTGTTTCTTGGAATTCTAGGTGTATGTTAATTTTGCATTATTTATCATAGTTCTTTTGGAAAATTTCCACCTTAAACTGATGTAGCTTCTCCATGAAAAAGGGTTTGGGGGGCTTCCTGTGGCTCTGGCCAGAGAGCTGGAGGGGTGCTGGTGACAGAGGAGAATGCTGGGTCTGAGTAGGCAGAGAATGCCAGTCCATCTGGCCCAGGCTCACCCCAGACCACCACCCCAGGGCCTCTGAACCCATCCCTGTCCCTCATGGACGTTTATGCTCAGGTGCCCAGTGCTGGAGAACGAGCTAGCAGTAAAACGCAGGCCCTCGTGGAGACTGGTAAATATTTGCTGTCACTCCAGAGTGACCTGGGTTGGGGTGAGTACCGGCACCAGCACAGAACGGCCTGAGCTTGACAGGGGACAAGGTGGGCCTGGGCCAAGGATCAGCCACTGTGATGACCAGCAGAGCTTAATGGGTGGGTTTGCTGCTCTTGCTTCAGAGTGGAAGGTTTTAGCACCTGGAGCGTCATGCAGGTGTCTGGGAGGCCATGCCTGGAACTTTACCTGTAGACCTAGACCTTCAAACAGTATTTAGAAATCAACAGAACTTCTCTCTCTCTCTCCCTCTCCCTCTTCATCTCCCTCTGGTTTTTTCTCTAAAGGGGGGTACAACACCAAAGAAAACAGATCTAAAGTGGTACGGTAGGCACAGGACCCCTTGACCAGGCTGTGTGTTGGGCCATAGCGCCCCCTGGAGGTCCCTGAATGTTCAGCCGGGCACTTGGATCAGCTTCATGTTGTTTCCTTATGGGGATTATCATATAGGCCGTATAAAAAGATAAAATGCACCCCTAAATATGCCTTCCCTTCCACGAAACAGAAAAGATGAGGGCTACCCTAGAAGATTTCCTGGAAGGTATGCCCCAGTTAGCCTTCCTCCCTATTGACTCATAAGACATCTGAAAGTGTTTCAGCTCTTGCCTTAGGACCCATCTCACTCCCTGCATCCAGGCTGAGTCATTCAATATTGAATAATAACACATGGGAGGCATAATGGTGGGTCTTTGGCAAAAAGGTTGAACTCCCACCCCCACGCTCTGGGCTGGAGCAAAGGCTGCATCTCCCCTCAATATTGCCCTAGTGTTCATGAACCAGGATGGAGACAACCAGCCTTAATGTCCTTTGGGGAACAGGAAGGGAGCCATTTTCCCCAGTGCAGCAAAATCTGCTCTAGTCCAGCTGCTTTGTTCACCCTCCAGGTGAGGCCAGAGAGCGACCAGGACCTGTAGGTGTCAACCTAGGGCTGAACAGTGTCCCATGCCACCCTGGGGAACTGCCCCTTAGCTGCCCATAGGCACTGGCAGAAAATCTGAAAGTGCATGTACATATTATATAAAAAAGGTCAGTAAATATAATGAATATATTTTTTCTTTCGCTATTATAAATGGAGTAAGATTATTTTTTTAAAAAGATTTATTTATGCATACAGGAACTGGGTACAGGCCAGAGGTGCAAGTGGGAGAGGATTCACCAGAGACAGAGTGGGGAGCAGAACAGGTGGATCTTCTGAAAAAAGAGCACATTTATTAGGGAAAGGGATAGAAGAGTAAAGACACTTGCGTAAACAAAAGCAGGCAGAAAGAGCTGCCCCGAAAGGGGCAGGTTTGCTGAGAGAGGCCTGTGTGGTTGCAGGCAGGTGGCCTTGAGGAGAGCTGTCTCCACTGAGGGAGGTCAGTGAAGAGAAATCCTGGCATGGTACAGGTCACAGGCGGGCAGGAGGCTGCTGCCCTGCAGAGGGGGAGAGTTGGTGAAAAGAAGCACCTTCATAGGCATAGGTGGGCAGAGGGACTGCTGCCAAATGGAGTAAGATTAAATTCCTTTTTTAGATTGCTGTGGGGTTAATGGGAAAAAAGTCACGACCCCTGTAGTGGAACACAGTGGGTTGTGGGTGAATGGACTGTAGGTGGGAGCGGCTGTGTTTCACTTTGTCCAGCAGGGACCGATGTCCAGGAGGCTTGAGCCTCAGGGACCCTCATCTATGTAGG